AGAAGACCAAATGTCAACGCTTTAAAACCGCAAAAAGGCGGGAAGATATATAAAATTTAAATTGTTATTTCGATTGTATGAAATCTAAAGCTCAGAACTTTTTTGTACACCTAATATAAACTTATTATTTTTGAAACAACAACGTGTGTCCAGAAATATCGCATTTTTTAACAAAATAGCAATAAAATTATATTAGAAGAAATTTTTAAACAGATTTCAAGACAACAAACTGTTTCAAAAACGCTTCTAATATAACTATATTACCATTTAATCAAAATTGTATTAATTAATCAGGGAAATCAGGGAATCAGGGTTGTTAATTTTTATTTATATTTTTATTTTATTTTCTTATTTTATTTTACTATATTATGAGTTACTATAATATGATTTTATTTATTTTACTATATTATGAGTTACTATAATATGATTAATATAAAGTTGCAACGTACATCAGTTGCTTAGGATAATATATATATATATATATATATATATATATATATATATATATATATACTTGTAAGTGTAATTAGAAATGAATGTTTACAACTTGTATATAAATTTCGGAAAACCTATATACTTTTCACTGGAAAGTTGCCATAACATGTGACATTTCATATTATCAACACTTTGTTATTGAACTACAATTAAAAATCTTTATGTTTGAAGACATATATGTGACAATGGATGGAAATTATTATATATGTTTTGTTGCCGTCATGTTTTCATCATGATGCTCAAGATGAAATGATTAATCATTTGTTGTGACATGTTGTTGACATATTGCTGATAACATAACATACTACTATTGCTGACCGTTTGCTCTTAAAATTTCGTCAACTGATTGCATCCATAGCAGATATATTGTTATATTCGTTGTCCTATTTCGATGTCAGCAAATATATGGCAAATATATAGCAACACATGCAATGCATTAGTTCGCTCAATATGCTATATCATACTTGACTATCTGGGATGTTTCGCGTTGTAATTTACTTCATATTATATTCATTTTGTAATGCAATACAAAATAAATTACATCCTATTTCAAATTCACATCCTATTTAAACTTTGTTTTTGTCTAATAAGAATGGACATGTTTCAATTATAACAGAATATAAATTACCAAATTTAAAAATAAAATCGATAAATAAATAATTGGACTATATAAGCCAAGCCAGGACGACGGAGGCTAATGATATATTTGAAACCATTATCAAACCATACAATAACTCTAAACAATATTTCGTTAACCTAACAAACAATAAACATGACGAATTAAAAACAAACAATAAACATGACGAATTAAAATATACGTTTCGACCTTAAATGTGGTCTTCTTCAGTGTTTAAAAGATGAGTTATGCACGCAACGAAATTCATAATCATTAAAATTAACGAGCGCCTTACAGTTGTCTAATTAATAAAAAAGTCGTAGTCCCAACTGCTGTAGCAGAGTTTCGAGATGCATTCCATTTGAGCATTGTATATCTTCAGTAGGTGTGACCAGTATTAGAATAATTTGGATAATGTAACGAAAATTATGTCTAAGGTTAAAAACTTAAGGATGTGGATAAGAATCTAAAGCAAGAGGTAGAATCTAAGCAAGGGGAAATAGAATAATAAAAGGGGAAATAAAATAATAATCAAGCCGTTAAAAAACTAATGATGTCTCCAATTATCAAAATCGTGTATAATTATTGAAATAAGTTAAAGTTGAAGAATAAATGCAAATACATATTGTGTAAATTGTAAAATATGAAATTTGAAGTAAAGAGTGGTCATACCTGGTCAAGTGCAAATACAGGTTAAAAGTAATGTGTGATAGTTGTTAGTAATGTGTGAGAGGTTGCAAGTTTCTCTTAGGAGTGCGGTAGAATATGTGGACCGAAATCCAAGATGATTAGTTGAGAAGGAGTAAAGAAAGGGAGAAGGGAGAAAGAAAACAAGGAGGTGGGGGAATAGAGTAAGAGTAGGAAAGGAAGGGAAAATATATTGAAAGGAGGCAATTAAGAACAAGGGAGAGAGTTAAGAATAGGGAGATACATTAAAAATAAAACTTTTTTTGCATATTTCAATAGTGCACTTTTAATGTATTTTTATAAAATTATATTGAATTTTTTAATATCTTACAAAATAAGAGAAAATATTATGTTGAAGTATAATAAAAATGTATTACATTTTTGTCGACGCATAAAAATAATATTATATTTTTCCTCGTCTTTCTTTCCTTTGTCTTTCTTATGCCTTTTTAATTAAATTTTTGTCAGGATATAATTTTAAATAATTTCTTTATGTCTAGACTTAATAATAATGCTGCTAAACAATTTCTCTTTTTATTGTAAATCGGGATTATTTTTTCATTATACATTTAAAATGCTATTAAAAATTAAAAAATAAAACGGCTTGCCATAAACTTTTACAGCAGCATAACTATATGTATAAGGAAAATTACCCAATTACATTTCTATCATAAAGACACATGTAAAATGCGATTGGATAATTTTCCTTATGCATATGGTTATGCTCATAGTGGAAGGAATACATAGTGTGCGCAGCTCGACAATGTCTTTTTCTGCGCTCTCCGTCTATTGCTTGTAGTAGACAAAAGCTACCAACTATGAAACGCGAATATATTTCGCACCGAGAAGTTGGTATGCTGAATCTCTCCTTGTTCACACACTTTATAATGCATCGTAATTTCTCTTTCTAATCTTCATGATTTCTGTCTTAAATTAAATATTGAATAAAAAATTAAATAATGATAGTGTTGATAATCAATATAGAATAATTTATAATCTCTATTGGGAGGATTTTCAGCCGAATGATCATTCTTTCGAACTTCGAATCTTTATGATATGCATGAGAAAAATGATTACAGATTACATAAATATTTTGATACTTTGCATGTAAATAATAATAATAAATCTTAAAATACTATATGTAATAATTATAAAAATTATAATAAACTTTTTTTTATGACATTTTAAACAGTTTTTTTTTCTAAAACAGCATGACTCCGATGAGTGATCTAAATAGAGTATTTCGGTTCACATGTATTTTTTGGCCATTTTGCTGCGATAAAGAATAAAATTTGCATTAAAAAAAAACAAAAATAGCAAACATTTATGCAATATTTATAAAAGTATTAACATTAATTTGAAACATAAAAGTACAAAATACAAAATACAAGAATATAAAAAACAAATGAGATTTATTATACAGATTTATTATAATTAAATATATACAGCGTTTCTATAATTTTTGTTTAATTGTGCTGGAAATGACTTTTTGATTTCTTTCTTTTTTTTCTTTGCATCATTTATCAATCGTCTGTTTATCTCTCAAACTTTTATATACATACGAGTTTTTACCACTACATTTATCAGAACTGCTGTTACACTCACTCACTATACTAATACTGCACCATTTTATAGTATTAGGCTGATGGCAGAGAACGAGACGTAAGCGTTTACGTTTACCGTAAACGTAGATGTAGAGAAAAACGTATACATATCCAATAACTTTTCACGTATACGTAACCTCTTATGTATATGTTTTTCTCTGCCTTAACCTACGTCTACGTTTACCTACGGTAAACGTAAGCGCTTATGTCTCATTCTCTGCCATCAGCTTTACAACAAATTTTCCGAATGTTTCGCGAACGAAAGTAATACTTGTCCACGTGCAAAACGAAGTAGTGTGTACACACGGAACAGATAAAAAAAGAAACTGCTCGAAGAAAATGCGTGAAACAAGAACAGATCCAGCTATACCAATTTGATAACGCTAAACTACTTTTACTTTTCACAGTTGGTAGTATTTTCCTATTATAGATGGCTCAGGGTGACGATATCCCATGGATACGGAATGTGCACAATGCGGAATTGGCGGAACGCTCGTGATTGGTCCAACAAATGTTCCGTCAATTGCATTCCGCTGAAATGGCTGCGTTCAGCAAAGAAAGCAGATCAATGAGCGTTCAGTAATTCTTTATTATGATTGGTTTCTATACTTATATTTAATGAAGATCTAAAGGCAAGGCTTTCTCTGCTGAACGCAACCAATGTATTTCCTATGTCCCATGGAGCGGAAATCGCGAAAGCGCAATTGCCTATCAATCGCAATGAATGCTTTCCAACAAGGAGAGTTTAGTTTTTTTGTTACACAGTGTGACACAGAGAGACACTGTAAGACACAGTTATAGAGTTTAATTGGAACACATAAGTTACTAAACACGCTCATTATTATTCTTTTCATATTCGATTATAATTGGTCAATTTCTTACTTCTTAAAGTTTAAATTATCTATTGTGGACCGACACTTAGAGAGTAGTGTAAAAGACATAGGAGAAGACTATCACGCATAAACATAAGCGCATTTTTTCGTTATCATCCATTATTGCCAATGCATTTTTTAAAGAATTATTAATATATACTGAAATAAATTTAAGTAAATTATATGTATTGATTATTTTATTGCTGGCTACAAAGCTTTATTTTATATTTGTAAAATAACTATGATCTTTTCGATTTGACATTACATGGAATCTCATTCATTTCAGGTGAGTATAATTCCTTTTCTCCTTC